AGAGAGAGAGAGAAAGAGAGAAAGAAAGAAAGAGAGAGAGAGAGAGAAAGAGAGAAAGAGAGAGAGAAAGAGAGAGAGAAAGAGAGAGAGAAAGAAAGAAAAGGATATAGTTATTTATCCATATGTGATAAAACTAGGAGTTCCAAAAAGCCCTAGGCTCATATTTCCTAGCAGACTAGTTCTTTCTACTTTCAATAACTGATAGAAATATACTCTAAATTTTGCTCAAGGGGAATGAATGAGAATTCATCACCCTATAGCACAGTCTTTTATTTTACTCTTCTTCAGAGAAAACAATGACCTTTGGCTAGGAGTATGGCTCAGTCGAGTGCTTGCCTAGCATTCCAAAAGCTGAACTTGCAAATGAGATCAGAGATCTGTGATGGCAGTCAATGGAAGACTATGAATCGGAAGTGCCAGTTAAACTAGGCCCGACTCCCCACCTTCAAAAATGCACAAGACTACATTTCTACTGTTTTAATATAAGTTAAAAAAAAAGTATAAATACGATAGTAGAAATACTGAAATTACTCAGCCAGCAAAATCCCTAACTAAATTTTGAATATTTTTTTCTTACCTTACATCAAAGAAACTGCTCTTTTGCGAAAATGGAAACCATTAGAGAAACTCACAGCCAATCAAAAGGCAGAGTTGTAGAGTTCAGTCCCAGTAGAAATATCTACAAAACGATTCCCTCACCTAACGCTCAGGGATCACTGCAGAATCATCCCTGGGTGGGCCGAAAGATTATAGAAGCCCAAGAAATAGAAAATTTACTCTGAGATTGTATTTCCCAAAAATGTTGGAAGCTACACCATATGGTCTCACCAACATGACTGCCTAAACACACCCTGAACATGGATGACAAAAATACAGAGGCTAACATAAATGGAGAAAGTCCTACAAGACAGGAAACTAAGGAATACTAGGAGCTGAAGAAATAGTCTTCCCCAGAGAAAAGCATACCAATTTGCTATCCAATACCAAATGGTCAGCCCTGAGCACATACTTTCAAGTCACATGGTACAGACTAAGCATGTTGTGGTCGTTTATTTAGGAATATATATATACATATATATATATATATATATATATATATATATATTACACACACACACACACACACGTGTAACAATGATTGATGAACAGATAGGCCATAAACGTAAAAGAAAGCAAGGGGGAATATATGAGAGTTTGGAGACAGAAAGGGGAAGAGGAAATGATATTATTTTATTAAAATCATAAAACAAACACTTTTTTTAAATACATGGAAAGTTTTGATAAATTGCTAAATACAAGACAAATGCTCAAAACACACTGACTAATTTTTCTATTATTAAAGACAAGCAATGTAGAAGAAACATTCTTCCCTCATCATTAACTGGTTAGTGATAGCATCAAGACTTCCAATTTGAAGAAGTCAGGAAACAAATCTATCATTTAAGTTTAGTAACATACTACAATGAGCAATGCCCAGCCTACAGAGAGACCGCATTACCAAAACTTACTTTGTACATAATAAATAACTAAAAAGTAGCAAAAAGTAGAAATTAAGCCCAACAAAATATACTCATTAAACTATTCATTATATAGACTAAAACAAAGAAGACACATAGAATTAAGTCCCAATTCCTCAAAAAGCATTAGAACCAAACAGGAGTTCCAAGTAACTGACAAGTCTTGTGTCAAGTACACCCTTACTAGACTTTATCATGGTGGATAAAAACACAACTTCATATTTTCAACTTACCCTCCAGTATTTGGAACATACAACCAAAAGTGACCTCTGTGTGAATGCACAAAAAGAGATGCTTTGGCAATTCTGACAATAAATTGGTTTGGATTCCTCCTCAAATATTGGTTCAGTATCCTGAAAAGAAAGAGATTTATAAAGTCTCCGGAATAACATATATTAATTAAAATCTTCACAAAATGGTAATGATGTCACGAGGGAACAACTGCACCATGTGAGCGATTCATTATTTTAGGTCCCCGGGTAAAAGCCAAGACAGTAACAGCAGGAAAAAAAAATAGTCTTAAAAAGAGCTGGACAAAAACGTCTTTGCTACAAAGTTGACCAAAATTAAACCCTGATGGTGAGTCAGAACATGTTCCCTGGAAATGGCAGATGACGGAATTTTGCAGTAATCCTATGGTTATATGTACTTAAGTTAAAAAGAAAAAAAAAAACTGATCAATTCCTTCAGTTTTTCTAAGCTCAACACCTAATATTTCACTATCTGAAGTGAAAAATATCAGTATTGGCAGGAAATTGATCTTTCTTGTCAAAAGTAAATAACTGTCCTAGTCCATAGTACCCATGAAAGAAGACTAAAAATAACTTTGTAAACTTTTTTGATAATGTTGGCATTTGAATATGAAATGTTCCTACAGGCTCAAGTGTTAAACCTTGTGCTGATACTGGGATGCTCTGAGGACCTTAGGAGGTGTGCACACTTACAAGAAGTGGGTCACTGGAAAACTGAAGTTGGCCTTTGAAAATTATACCTGGTCCTTAGTCCCTTCCTTGTTCTGCCTCCTGGCTGCTACTGGGTGAACAGGATTCTCACCCTCCACATGCTCCTGTAGCAGGGACATTGCTCATTACTAGCCAGAGTCAGCCATGCCAAAGACTATGTACTCAAGTCTCTGAAACCATCAACTAAAATAAGCCCTGTCTAGGTCAGTTATTCTGTCACTATTTTGTCTGGGGGATGCAGGAGTAACTAAAAGGGTAGGTTGCTTTATTTACTTCATTCAAGCAAGCTGCCTTCTAACATTTAGTTTAAAAAAATTAAAGAGGAATTTTACATTTCTCTACTTCATATTCTGGATGACATATTTCTTATTTTATATCCTTGATGGGGCAAATATCTCCATCAGAATGGAGGAAAAAAAATTAGTCAAACAAGTAAACAACACTGAAGATCTTTTCTAATATGTGCATGCAATCATTTCAATAAAAATGCTTTTTTCCTTTAAAAAAGCAAACTAAAGTGAGAACCACGATTTCGAAAAGGATAAAATTATATAATAATAATGACAGAAATCACTGCGCATCTCACCTGCATGCCACTAAGTTCAGAGGTAACAATCCACACCTTCAGGATACCTGTCACGGAGAGTGCCACCACAGTGTCCTCTAAACCAGGGAGAGAAAAGAAGCCCACAGTAAAACAGAATGTTTTCTTCTAACATTAAAGCCGCCTGCCCTCATGAACTAAACAGGTAGAAAAACACAATTCCCCATGCTTAGAATAATACAAATTCAATGTTTATATTATTGTTCTTTTCTGGAAAAAAATGCTTTCATTCACAGTTTTCAATGAAGGGTTTCAAAAGAAATGAAGAAAAAGTAGTAATGTCTACTGAGTATAAGCACACAGTTACAGAAAGTCATTGAATTTTATCTCTTCCTTCTTCACTGTCTCCATGAAAAATGGTGCCTTTTGACAAGAGATAAGACCAGGATCCAGAAGACACACACGAAACTAGAGCTCTTATCACTACCACACCCCTGCCATGCTAACCCTGCCTCACTGGGGAAAACGTTTTACACTAAAGCTTCCTTAAGCTGTATAACCCATCACACAAAGGGGAGGTAATCACCTGTGAGTCAAATATTATTTCAGACAAACCCCTTTGTAAAGGAGACAGAGCACAAATTACTGGAACAAATATCTGTTGGATACAAGTATATAACCAAAATTGCTAACCTTGACAAATTATACAGCACTTCACAGTAACTCAAACAGTAAGATGGTGTTCAAGATGCCAAAGGGTACAATCTACTGACCTTGTGTCCGGTGAGACCGGATAATGCTCATGGAGCTAATCCAGTCTGGTGATATCTTTGATACCAAAGAATACAACACCTCAAGGCTGGTAGCATCCACAACGAGGATTTCGGGATAATGTCCATGGCATAAAAGTCTTCCTTCTTGCTGATTTCCAACAGAGAATTGATAGAACTAAATCCAAATTTAAAAAAAAATATATTTTTAGATGTATTGCTTCAGTTGGGCTACTTGATTAACATGGATTCATTAAATACATTATGATATTCTCCTAAACATTAAATTATTCCAGTAATCATTTCAGATGGGCACATCCATGTTAGATTATACTAATCTTTAAGAAAATTTCCTTTCCTAATGTCACATACTCAATTTTGAGCTCTTACGGGGCAAAAATAATAATTTATCTTTTTGTCCTTATCTCTGTCATCTAAAACAGACTTTCATAATTTTTATGAGGAGGCTAGGGTCTCATTTTTGGGTTTGTGTTTTGGTTTTGTTTGGGTTTTACTTGCTTGGGCTTTTATTGTTTTGAGTTGTTTTTTTGTTTGTTTGTTTGTTTGTTTGTTTGTTTATACAGGGTCTCACAATGTTACTCATCTCTGGCTGGCCTGGAACTCTCAATATACACCACCCTACCATCAAATTCACAGAGATCCACCTGCTGCTACCACCAGAGAACCAGAAATAAGAGCATGTATTACCATACAAACCTGAAAAGACTGAAACAAAATTAGCCTAACAAATTAAATAAAATAGGAAGCTCATGTTAGTTAAAACCAATGTGAATTCTAAGAAATAGGAGCAGGTCAATGTGGTGGACAATACCATCAACTTGACAGGATCTTGAACCAGTCAGGTTTACTATTACTGTGATGAAATACCATGAGCAAAAACTATTTGGGGAGAAGGGGGTTTATTTCATTCACGGTCACATATAATAGTTCATCATCAAAAACAGTGAGAGCAGGGCAGGAGAATGGAGGTAGGAGCTGATGCAAAGGCCATGGAAGGGTGCTACTCACTACCTTGATCCTCATGTCTTGCTCAGCTACTATCTTATAGAACTTAGGACCACCAACTCAGGGATGGCATCACCCACTAGGATCTGGGCCTCTAACAAAAAAAAATACACTACAACTGGATCTTACTGGACATTTTCTCCATTAAGATTCCCTAACGACCCAGAAGTAACAGAAGCTGTGCAAGAAAAACAACAGTGCCAACTAACCTGGGCCGAGAGGAGTTTGCTGAGACTGAAGCATCAACCAAGGACCATGCATGAACTAGACCTAGGCCCCCTACAAAGATGTTGCACTCAGGTAGCTTAGGCTTCAGGTGGGTACTCTAGTAAAGGAAGTGGGGACTGTACTGGACAGGGACTCACTTGCTAGGTTTTTGATCACTTTTCCCTGGGAGGGAAAAAGGGTAGAACTGGGAAGGCAGGAGGGAAGGGGCTACAAGGATGTAAGGTGAAATAGATAGATAGATAGATAGATAGATAGATAGATAGATAGATAGATAGATAGATAGATAGATAGATA